TGAGGCTTTGAAATACCCCCGGGGCTACGCTGACTCCGAATTGGAGCCTCTTGCAACGGAATGCCCCCCGGTGGGTAACTATTGTCTGCGCCTCGGCGGTTTCCTCGTCGACCGGCAATTGCTGATAGGCTTGGGCCAGGTCGAGTTTGGCGAAAACCCTGCCCCCTCCCAACGAGTGCAAGAGGTGTTGTACTACTGGGACGGGGTAGGCGCTTTGTTGTAGCGCGCGGTTCAGGGTTGCCTTATAGTCCCCGCAGATTCTCACAGACCCGTCTGGCTTTAACGGGGTGACTATAGGGGTCTCCCATCGGGCATGGTCTGTGGCTTCGAGGACTCCCTGTTCGATGAGCTTGTTTAATTGCTCATCGATTTTGGGCCGGAGAGCGAAAGGCACTCGCCGGGGTTTGAGGCGGATGGGAGCGATGGTGGGGTCTAGGCTGAAGGATATTGGGGGGCCCCGGTACTTGCCTAGATTTCCGTCGAAGACCTCCTGGAACTCGCGCACGAGCTGTTCCTCCCAGTCCGCCTCGGCGACGTGGTTGGTGCCGGTCACTTCTAGTCCCAGCGGCGCAAACCATTGCAGTCCCAAGAGGCTGGGGCGGTCTCGTTCGACGACGGTTAGCGGAAGTATCTCTGTGCGCCCTTTGAAGGTAACCTTGAAGTGCCCGGTCCCTACCACGGGAATGCGATTCCCCTGGTAATCTTTAAGGATGAGCGTCTGGTTCTCCAGCTCGTGCCGCTTCATGGAAGGTACCAGTCGCTTAATTTCCCGCCATGCGACCATGGACAGGTACGATCCGGAGTCGACCTCCATTTTGCAGGGGCGGTCCTCGATTTCGACCTCCACGTGGACTTTCCGGCCGTCCCAGTTGGAGGAATGGCCGACGATGACCGTTTGGTGGGTTTCCTCGCGCTGGCGGCCTTCGTGGAAACGGCGGCTCCTCGATTCTCGGCTCCAGCGGCTCTCACCGTCCCGATCGCGGTTCCTCGGCGGGGTGTTGTTGCGCCTGGCACTTTCGCGTCTCCGGGGGGTGGTGTCTCGGTGGCGGGGGCTGTGGTTCCTCTTGAAACGGCAGACCTTTGCGATGTGTCCCCGTTTGTCGCAATGGCGGCAGATCGCGTCGAAAAAACGGCATTCTGACCTTGGGTGCTCCCCCCCGCAGCCGGCACACTGGAACTTCGATTTTCGGTTCCGTGGTTCGCGCCTGTCTCGTCCCGTCTGCAGGCGATGGACGTCTTCCTCGTCGTCTTCCGATCCGGAGGGGGACTCGAGGTCGCCGTGGTGCGTGGATGTGGCCGCCCGGTAGTTGTCGTCGGTCCGGTTTTCGGGTGTCGCGGCTGCGGCGGCCCGTTCCGCGGTGCCGGTTTGCTTCAGCTGGGCCGCTGATCTCCGGGTTGCTTCCGCCGCTGTGGCTTCTGCGAGGGCATCGGCGAGGGCGATGTCGCCTTTCGCCATGATCCGGCTTTGCAGGACGGTGTCCCGGAGGCCGAGGACGACGCGGTCCCGTAGAGCCTCGTCTAAGTCGGTAAACCCGCACAGCCCTCCGAGGTCCCTGAGTTCTGCCACAAATTTGCTGACGCTCTCACCCGGCTTCTGGTCGCGGCGATAGAATTCGTGCCGCCGAATGAGGGTGGGCACAGCGGGCGCGTAGTGGTTCCTCAGCAGAGGTTCGAGATCGGCCCAGTCCATGATCTTCACATCGATCGGCTTGGCAAGGGCTTTTGCCATTTTGAAGACCGCGGGGCCGCAGTGTGTGAGAAAAACGGCTCGTTTCCTCTGTCCATTTGCGTCCTTGAGATTGCTACTCTCTAAGAACATGAGGAATCTGTCGATGTAAGATTCCCAGTCCTCGGTAGCCGCGTTGAAAGGAGCGGGTGGCACGTTGCCGCTGGCCATATTGCCGGTTGCGGTTCCGTGGGCCACGTGCGATGTGGAATTTTGTTAGGATCCCACCTTCGTCGCCAGTGTCGTATATCTCATACGAACAAAGGACGCGAGTTAGTGACTTGGTTCAGCTCATTTATTGGGGGTAAAAACACAAGTGGGGAGAGTGGGGAAGAAACGCGGCTTAAAAGGCTTTCTGCTGAGTGCTGCGGCCAATCGGGTCGTTTTGAATCGCCCGCGATCGGCTCAGCCAATCGCGGTCGATTCCGAGCGACCAATCAGTGCCGCGCACTCAGCCAATCCGGTGGCCGTGCGCTTTAGCCAATCCGGGCTGCCGGATTTCGAGTATGCAGATGTCTGTACAGAACACAACCATCAGCCATTCTTCTGTTCTGGGAGATTTAGTTTAGCTAGGAAGCAAGAAATGGTTGGATTTCTTGCTTTCTAGCTAGTCTTTAGATCTTCGGCTCTGCTTTTAAGCACAGCTGAACGTCTCTTAGGACTGTAGGTTCTATTATTCAGTGCAGACTCATGGCAAGCAAATTTGAGAGACTGAGCTAGCCAATGGCAGATAGATAGATCACTGAATTTTCTACCTTCTGCACAGAGGTGGATTTGAAGCTGTACAGATGCAGATAGATAACTCAACAAGACGCCCGTAACAAATTATATTTATTGGTTCATCAGTATCCTCATAAGTCACATTTGTGATGAAGTTCTTTAATGACCAATCTTTTGTTTATCTGCCTTGTAGTAAAAGATGGTTATCTCCTAACCCATCTCGTAGCAATAGAAAGCAGCTGCCATGAGTTAGAGAGTTCAGGCAAAAGTGAGGGAAACTTCCCCAAACCCCTCGAGGGTCAATTTAGTGACCAATCAGGATTGCAGATGTGGTCACGTGATATGAACTACATTTCTCAGGATAGCTTTAACTACATTTACCATGATGCATTCCCTTAAGGGGACAGCTCATAATTCCTAAGTAACTATCCAATTCCCATAGACTGGCTGGGACAGCACACTCCCCACCTGGAATTGTAAATTCCACTATTAAAGGAAGAGAAAAAAATTGACTATAAATTAAGATAATCAGTAAACAGTAATACTATGAATAGCAGATAACTATATAACTAAGATAAACAGTTAGATATGTAACTAAGAAAAACAGTAAAGATTAATAAAGCATCAAATAAAGCAAAGCATCAAAGCTTGAGGTTCAATTTTCAAGTTCAGCCCCTTGGTGCAAGTCTGCTGGTCACCTCTGTTTTCTTACTCCATTCTGTCATGGGTTTACAGGATATAACAAACTAAAGATGAGTTCCAATATGCAGAACTACAGATTTGTGTTGAAGTTGAAGTTCATTCAGCTGACATATTACCTTCATGGAGCAATTCATTCCAAAATCCATAACAGGTGCAAGTGCTTGCCTTGTTAATTTAAAGATAAAATTTGCAGAGTTTTAATAAGTTAACAATAACAAAGAAGCACTATGTGCATTCACATTAATTTAGTTTCTTTGTTTGTGCTCAACAGTTCATATGCCCATCTAGTGCACCCACATCACATTTCCCCTATAGCTTCTAGGGTGTGGGTTTTTGTTTTGTTGTGTGTATGTATCTCTTTGAGTCAGTGTTAATTCTTGGACAAGTTCCGGCAGATTTTTAGAAGCAGTTTGCCATTGCCTGCTTCCTAGGCTGAGAGAAAGTGACTGGCCCAAGGCTACCCAACCGGTTTCGTGTGGAACTGAAACTCAGTATCCCAGTTTCGAGCCTGGTGCCTTAACTGCTACACCAAACTAATTTTCTTCCTTTAGTTGTACTGGGTGGGAATTTTGCAGGACAGTAATTTTGTGTAGTGATGAAATATAATATCAAGAGCCCATGAGTTCTAGTTCTACCCTAGATACAAGCCCAATTGGATGATATGACACTAGTCACTTTCTCCCAGCCCTAGGAAGAAAGTACAATTGAGCTACTTCCAAAATATGTATATATAAAAATCCAGCATGGATTTATTCCTTCAGTCACCAGAAATCAGGGCTGATTCAATTAACTATAACACAACTTCCTGTGACTTAATTACTAGGCTTAATTACTAGTTTAATAAAGATTGCATATAACCTTTCATCCCATCTCCAAATAAATATGATGGGCCAGATCTGCAAGACATAAATTAAAGGCAATGTTAGATTATTTCTAACATTATATCATATTTGGCCCCCAAAACACATATCAGTTATCAGTGGCACACTTCAAAAAGTAATGGAATGAAATCAGAACCAACATTAAATTTTTCCCAATTAAAAACCCAAGGAAAAGTTTCATTATTAAGAACCAAACAAACATATTTGACCCTGTACTCAAAGATAATGATTTGGTGATTTGTGGTAAATAAAAATCCCTGTAAACTTTCTACAAATAAATTACAATAACAGACTGTTAACAGAGCACTTTGAACTTTAACTTCTCTGTTGCTTTATCTGTTAACTATTTTCTTTGCATATATGCAATGTGTGGCAGGACAACTGTGTTGCAAATAGAGAACACTGTTGTATAGAACCCTATTGATAGACATGGAAGTTTTTCTAAATAATGCAAAATATTTCAAACCCTAGGAAAAAGTATATTCAATATATTTATTTGGTATTGCATACACAGAAACATCAAGGATTTTTATTTAGATTTCAAACCCTAGGAAAAAGTACATTTAATATATCTATTTGCTATTGCATACAAAGAAGCATCAGGGATTTTTATTTTGAATAAGTATTTTATTGAACAGCAACATTTTAGCAACCAGTGATAGGAACAGGTGACGTGCCTTGTCTGTCTTCTTTCAGACATTCAGCACATCTGGAATCATTTCTCAACTGATACAGCTACTGACACTGAATGGAGCTGGGGACTTAAAGGGCGAGTGACTAAGTTGTTCATTTAACATAGGTGAAGGTCCAGTCTAAAAGTGTAAACTTAGGATTAAGTTATATTAGTAAGGAAACATTTTTCTCCATTTCATTCTTGACTACTCAGACAGTTGGGGGTCTGCAGACTGGAAGAAAGTGAAACATTGAGGCATATAAAAAGAAGAATTATTTGTTGACCTGGAAAACAAGAACATTGGACAACCAGAAAAATCTTTACAAGTTGGTAGGATCAGTCAATTGAAGGAAGCAGAGGAAAGGCACTGATAGGGATAAAATCAAGAAAGCACAATTTACTTGTTACCTTTTCTTTCCACAAACAGACTATGGAGTTACCTTCTAGCCTTGAAGATTTGGACCCCAAATTTGTCACACGTTGCTCACTGATAGAGATCGAAGGAGTTTCTTTGCCCACCACAACTGCAAAATATTGGGATCGGATAAAGAGCTTCCAGGCACGGCCAGATGATCTTCTCATCTGCTCTTACCCCAAAGCAGGTAATCAACAAGGAGATAAATAGGGGGACCCTGACATCAAAGTGGGGAAAAGGTTTCCCTCCCCTCAAAAAACAGGCTCTGGGAGTAAAGGTCTACATGCTGTGCTGCTTAAGTGTTTTATTTAAATGATATTTAAGGAATTCATTGGTAAAAGGTGCACAAAAATGTATTTGGACTGTTTTTATTGTTGGGCTTACAAAACAACTGATTCTAGAGCAAAAGAAAAGGCTTGAGGAAGGAAAAGGAGAAAAATAACTTTGATGATAATTGATTTAGTAGACCAGACTGATGGAAATATACTGTATGTACTCTGGTCCAGTGTATTCTGCTTTTCCCCACATCTATTATTTCCCTGGGATGGTGCAATCTTTCATTCTTTCTTTCTCTTTCTCTCTCTCTCTCTCTCTCCCTCCCTCCCTTCCCTCTCTCTTCTATTATTGAATTTAACCTTAATCTACTTTTTCTCTTAGGGTAAAGATGGTTTCTCAAAAGCTCTTTCTGTAGTAACTCTAAACATTAAGATGATGGAGAAAGAATGGAAAAGGGTCCAGATGGGTCAAGATGGCAGCCATGACCACACAATTGAAGCCCTACCCCTTTTAAAACACAAGAGAAAGGGTTTCAATTCATGGTCTTGACTGCCATCTTGACTTTGTTGACCCTGCTATAGATGCACATGGGAGAGTAGACCCTCAAGGTTTTACATTTCCTAGGAACTCTCCATTTTGTACTCTCTACTCCTGTTCTTTCCAGGAAGCACCTGGTTGCAGGAGACTGTGAACATGATCCAAAATGCAGACAATCTGCAGAAATGTGCTCAAGCCCCCATCTACAAGCGGATGCCCTTTCTGGATATGTTTCCTCCAATCACCTTTCCTTCAGGTGAGCATCTGCGGCAAGGATAATGAGCATCTTTGTCAAAACCTGCCTGAATGTTTTGTCCCCATCGTTTCAGACTTGGACAATGCTGAAGCAAGGCCTTCTCCACGCTCACTCAAAAGTCACCTCCCAGTTCATCTTCTGGCTCCATCCTTTTGGGAACAGAAGTGCAAGGTCAGGACAATTGGGGAGGGGAGGGCGGGGATGGTAGGAAAATTACTTAATCCAAATCAAGATTCCATGACAGCAACTCCTTCTATTTCCTGGCTTGGTTGTAGGTAAAGGAAGTGCAGAGTGAGAACTTAATAGGATGTTCAGCTTTGGTATCTGTGACTTGATCAAGAATTTATGAAATCGTGACCAAATCAATGCTCCTCCTTCAACTCTCAGAGTTTGTATGCAGTTAGGAGTTCTTATTCAATATTTGTGGCTTGGCCTTTTCTTTCTTTTTCTTCTTTAAACACTAGAGATAGAGAACAAGTGTTACCTCACGTAGGAGCAATAGGAAGGGAATGGCTTGAAAACTGCTTTATAATAGACAGTTGAAACAGAACAGACAAAGGATATAAGTATAATGATTTAAATTGAGATGAAATAAATAAAATAGAATTAAGAGAGTGAAAAGAGGGGAGAAGCTATATAGAAAATGTAGAATGGTAAATAAGATATGGAATGGTATATAAAAGTGAGCATGAACTTGAATTTTATGGTCTGTATAAAAAGATGTAAACCCGGGATCAAGCTGCTTTCCAAAAAGATGTGTTATGTTTTCATGTTTTGTGTTTTGTTTGTATATGTTTGTCTTTTTAAAAATTAATTTTAAAAAATTTGAAAAAAAAAAAGAAAATTGCTTTTGCATTCTCCTTCGTTTGCTCCTTTTCTTCAGGTAATCTATATTGCCAGGAATGCAAAGGACACTGTGGTTTCATATTTCCACTTCCATCACATGAACAAAACCTTGCCCCATCCAGGAAATTGGGAAGAGTTTCTGGATAAGTTTCTTGCTGGGAAAGGTGAGTAAAACCAGTCTAAAGAACTTGATGTACAGCAGTTTGTTTAATGACAGTTCAAGTTACAATGGCACTGAAAAAAGTTACTTATCACTATTTTTCACACATTGCAGAATCCCCTTGGTCATGTCATCAAAATTCAGATGCTTGGCAACTGACTCATATTTATGACGGTTGCAGTGTCCCAGGATCATATGATCCTCTTTTGCAAACTTCTGACAAGCAAAATCGATGAGGAAGCCAGAACACTTAACAACCATGTCACTAACTTAACAGTTACATTGATTCACTTAACAACTGTGGCAAGAAAGATCATAAAATGGGGAAAATTTACTTAACAACTGCCTCACTTAGCAACAGAAATTTGGAATTCCATTGTGGTCATAAGCTGAGGACTACCATAGAACAGGAATCTTATTCACCACGTTATAAAAAAGATGTTGAGACTTTGGAAAAAATGCAAAGAAGAGCAAGTAAGAGGATTAAAGGCCTGGAGAAAAGAAAAGTGGTCAAAGGAGACAAACTTAACAAATTTTTGCCCAGCAATAGAAATGTTGGGCTGAATTATGGTCGTAACTCGAGGATTACCTGTATTTCCTCTGAACCGTGCCACATTCCACAACTGAAAACCATGTGATAACCATGCAAAAAATTGTTACCAGGATAATGAAATATCGAGAAGGAAAAACAAAGGTACAAATGATGCTGATCTGGGGGCCACGACTGAAAAAGTTTAGAAGCTGGAAGACTCTTCAGGTGTGCACATTTACTGCTATCTTAAAATTAGATATACTAGCTTCTATTCCCTTCATTTGCATGATAATGCAGTTCGGTGGCTAGGTGGCAAATTAGCACGGAATGAATGGAAAATGAAATGAAAAGTTTGCAATTTCATCCCAGACAAAAGGGGTCCCTGTGCAATTTGCAGTCAGCATGCTGATCCTCACGTTGTGTGGTACTGGAAATGTTTGTTTATAAGGCACTTCAGTTCAATTCAATTCAACCCCCTCTTCAAGCATTAGACCCTATACCATTTCAGACACTTCTTAAAAACTTCCAGTGATAAAGGCAAGCTATTCCTCTGGTTAATTGTACGAGGTGCAATGACAATAAAGTAAATTAAAGCTGCTGATCCAGTTCTACAGAGGAATTATTGAGTCTATCATCTGCACCTCTATAACTCTCTGGTTTGGTTCTGCAACCCAATAGGACAGACACAGACTTCAGAGGACAATTAGAACTGCAGAAAAAAAAAACAATTACTACCCACCTGCCTTCGGTCGAGGACCTGTATACTACACGAGTCAAAAAAAGGGCTGTGAAAATATTTACAGACCCCTCACATCCCGGACATAAACTGTTTCAACTCTTTCCCTCAAAACGATGCAATAGAGGACTGCACATCAGAACAACTAGACACAAGAACAGTTTTTTCCCAAAAGCCATCTCTTTGCTAAACAAATAATTCCCTCAACACTGTTCAACTATTTACAAACTGCACTACTATTACTGTTAATCTTCTCATCACTCCTTATCACCCATCCCCTCCCACTTGTGAATGTAGGACTGTAACTTTGTCGCTTGTATCCTTATGATTTTTACTGACTGTTTCCTAGTATGATTTGATTGTTGATTGTACTCTATGACTATCATTAAGTCTTGTACGTTATGATTCTTGATTCTTAACGAATGTATCTTTTCTTTTATGTATACTGAGAGTATTTACACCAAGACAAATTCCTTGTGTGTCCAATCACACTTGGCCAAAAAAAGTATTCTATTCTATTAAGCTTAAATTAATTGTTCACACTGTTAGGAAGTTTTTCCTTAATGCCAGATTGTTTCTCTCCTTGATTAGCTTGCACCCATTGTTTCTTTCCTTCTGATGCTTTGGAGAATGGGTTGACCCCCTGCTGTTTAAGGCAGCCCTTCAAATATTGGAATATGGCTCTCATGTCCCCCTAAAAGTCCTTCTTTTCTCCAGACCAGCCAAGCCCAAATCCAGCAACTATTCTTCATATGTTTTAATCTCAAGGCCTTTAATCATGTTAGTTGATTTTCTCTGTACTTTTTCCAAAGTCTCAACATCTTTTTTTGTAATATAAGATGAATAAGATGAGTGCTGTTCTACAGGCAGTCCTCAATTTATGACTACCATGGGACCCCAAATTTCTGTTGCTAAGTGAGGCAGTTGTTAAGTACATTTTCTCCTGTTTTATGACCTTTCTTGCCACAGTTGTTAAGTGAATCACAGCAGTTGTTAAGTTAGTAAAAGGATTGTTAAGGGAATCTAACTTCCCCATTGATTTCACCTGTCAGAAGATCGCAGAAGATGGCCACATGTACTTATGACAATACAACTGTCCCAAGTACATGCCAATTGCCAAGCATCTGAATCGTGATCACTGGGGATGCTGCAATGGTCCTAAGTGTGAAAAACTTCCATAAGTCACTTTTTTCAGAGATGTCACAACTTCGAACAGTCACTAAATGAACTGTTGTAAATTGAGGACTACCTGTATTTTCTTTCTTTCTCATTGAGAAGAGAGGTTGAAGTAAATTTTCCAGTGTTCTCTGATATCTGTCTCTAGTTATCTGCGGCTCATGGTTTGACCATGTCTGTGGCTGGTGGGAGGCTAAGAAACGTCACCCGATTCTCTATCTCTTTTACGAAGACATGAAAGAGGTGAGAAGCTTTCCTTTCCTTAACAAAGAAACTTTGCTGCAAAAATGTTTCAGAGAGGGAGGAATTCAATGATACAGGCCAATCTTTCACAATTGGATTCGGGGAATTTTAAGATTTTGCAAGAGTGGGTGATTAAATAAACAACAACCTTGAATTTTGAACTTTGTGTTGCACTCCTAGGAATGTGAATGTTTGTGTCCCACAATTTAGCTGCCAACTTGCCATTTTGTTACTGTTGTAACTGTATGATAAATATGAATTGTATAATGAAATTTTCCCTTTGTTTTTGTTATTTTTATGCTGCGTTTCCCTGAGGCTTGAAAATGATTTCAAGAATACTTCCTAGCTAAATGTTTGAGAAAGGCTGACATTGGATTGAGATATTCAAATAAACAGAGCCAGTCTCCTATCAGTAACCTTTCACATTTTTTCCTTCCCGTTAATCATTTTAGACTTTTCCTTAGGATCCAATTCGGGAAATGAGGAAAATAGCCCAGTTCCTGGGATTAGAGGTTCGAGAACCAGTTCTGAATCAGATTTTGGAGCACACCCAGTTTGAGACTATGAAAGGAAACAAAATGGCTAATTATAGTAATGTGTCTCCCTGTCTCATGGACCATACCGTGTCACCCTTCCTCAGAAAAGGTGAGGATGGAAGCTGGAAAGGGAAGACGGGAAGAGTGAACAAGAAATCAGATCTGACACTTTCTAAGTGTGGCAGGGAGGGTCTTGCCTGGCAGGTCTTGATGTAAAAGTTTGGGAAAGACCTTTGGAGGTGGGTTAGAGAGAGATGCTACCTAGGGAACTGTCAGATAAGAGATAGCATAATCCACAGCTGGATAGTGGGTAGGGCAAGAAGCTTAGCATGGACTCACCCTAATTTTCTCAAGGTGTAAAAGAGATGGCAGGAAATAATACTTTCAGACTTGCAAGATTCTGTCAACTTAGCTTTAAATTAAGTAGAATGAACTTATCTGATCTTGTTTCCTGTCTATATACCTTGGTAAGGCTGATACTTGGGGAGGCTTTAGTCCCAAACCCATGATGGGCGTCAAATTTTGTAAAGGTGATCTTTGCAGTGTTGAAATGCAACTGAGAGGTGTGGGAAAACAAACAGGAGGAGAGGTGAGCTACTACAAAAGACAAGTAATCTAAATCCCGCTGGATTAGAATAGCAGAAAAGTAGCAGAGGGAAACATGCCAACTGAGTTTTGTTTCTCCCCCCTCCCTCTGCAGGTATTGTTGGTGACTGGAAGGAACACTTCACAGTGTCTCAAAGTGAACATCTGGATGGCATCTGTAGTCAGTTGCTGGAAGGCAGTGGCCTGACCTTCCGCACAGAACTGTAAAAGCAGGTCTGTCACTTCCATATAGTCTTCTCAATCAAGCCTGCTTAAATTATTAATTTTTCTTGCATTTAATAAAATAAGCCATGGATCCACAACCAAATGAGAATCCAAGTTTTACTGTGCATCTCTTTAAAAAGCTAATTCTTGTTCAAAAGCATTTGTCGTTGCCACTTAAATTTCTTTTTGCTGAAATTCTCTTATTGGGTTGCTCTCTCTCTCCCTCTTTCTCTCTCTTCTATACCATATGAAGTATGTGGGAGGGCTGTCCAGTTTTTAATTTAGACCTCTCTAATTTTTACTTAAATTTTCTTTTCAATTGCTTAAAAATTACTAGTAGGAAAAGCATTTCAAAAGGAAAGTGGAAAAAGGGAAGGCGATAGATAGAAATAACACTTTGCTGATATTCCAATCCCACAACTGAGGGTCAAATATGGCTGTATTTCATTTTTATGCTGTTTGGCTCAGCTTCTTTCATGGAAGCTGGGGATGAAATTGGGAAAGATTTCTCTCTCCCTGCACCTCTTATCCAGCATGCAGTAAGGAAATCAAATACGGTTTGTGTCATTTTTGCAAGCACAAGGGAATTTAACAGGGCTTAAAAAGATAAAGATGTGAACAGATAGAGTACTCCCCTGGTGGCTATAGCCATGTAGTTTTCTTGGTGTATTTCTTAATTGTCATTGTGGATGCAAAATCGATCCATATTTAAGTTTGCTCCTTCTGTCCTTTTTTTTTTTTTTTAAAAAAAACAAGTTTTATTGATTTTACAAACAAACAAACAAAACAAAACATCATTAAACATTAAAAACATGAAACCTCTTTCCATTGTAGATCTTTACAAGGCAGGTAACACATTGTTTTATATCACATACTTATAATTTATCCCATTTTCATATGAACACGTAAATTCCCTTTACCAAATTCCACTTTATTTCTCTTTAGTCATTATTCAATCATATTTCCTTTCTAATTTATCTGCTATTCAATCATCACATTTATATTTTCCTCTGGCTTGTTTGTAACTGTTCTCATCTAGTCTTCCTCCGAGATTTTATTATTTAATTCTTAATTGAACACACACACATAAGACATAAACATAAAAACATAAAACTTTCTTTTAGAAAGTAACTTGGCCACGGATTACCTCTTTTTGTATGGACTTCAATTAAATTCATGCTCTTCTTATATACCATTACCTATCTTGTTTACCATTCTATATCTATTATATAACTCCTCTCCACTTTTCCCTCGTCTTAATTCTGTTTTATATATTTAATCTTGCTTTAGAAAAAAAATATTTTTATATCTTTTGTCCATTTCTCCATTTACATCTGTCTCATTTCCAATATAAAAAAGAATAGTTTCCCCTGGAATCACTAATCAGAGTATGATGCCTTTCTATCATTCCCCTAAATTAAAATTTAAAATAACACCTACATCCCAATCAGATTCTGCTTAGTACATTCTACTATTTCAAAAACCAATACTACAATAATAAATCCATAACAGTCAACACATTAATCCATTAAACTCTATATTTAAACTAATATTTTAGACATTCCCTTTAATATTTTATTAAAGCTTAAAATCATTCATTATTAAACATTTTAAAGTTATACCTTAATATTTTAGTCTTTTATTAAATCTTAAAAAGTTCTGATTATCTACTTATAATACGAATACCACTATTACAATACTCATGTGTACTTTGCAGAATCCCCCCCTTTTTTTTAAGAAAGAAAAAACCCATACATTACCCATTATCCCTAAAAAAGTTTTTCTTTTCTCCATCTTGTTTTATACCTTTGTAACTTTTTCCCCCCTTTTCCCTTCCCTTCTTAGCCCGCCTAAACTTTTTACCCCCTCCTCTCCAGACCTCTGCCTTCTTGGTTTCCCCTTTCTGTTGCATTCCTCTTTCCTTTTGCTTTCTAGCATTCTGTTGTTTTTGCATCTTATTTTTCTCTTTCATAAATATTTTTTTATTTCTTAAGTCCTTCCTTTTCGCTTCTCTCTTTCTCCTTTCTTTCTTAGTCACACCATTTAGTTCATTAAAAATGGCTTCTTCTTCCTCAGCTTCTTCCAGCTGTTGTTTAATTTGCTGACACATGACAAGTGTCATATCTAGAAAACAAAGGGTTTCTCCCATAACATCTTTGCCTTCTTTCCTTATTTTTAAATATTGTTTTTTTAGTTCATCAAGAGATAGAGCCACTTTAAACTGTTTCTTCTTCTTTTTCTGTATCCTCTTATTATTATTAAGCCAATCAATTATTTCCACACTTAAAACCATTCCCAAAAGTCCCAAAATCCCGAAGTCATCAAACAGTCCAGGCAGAGTACAAACTTCTTCCTTTTACAATTTCTCTTCCAGGGGTGAAGTCAAATTAGGGGGAAAAAAACGCCCAGTCTATGCTTTAAATCTTTTTTACAATTAACTTCTATTCTGTTTATCTTCAAGGCATCTCCTCCAGCAAAGTCTTAGAATATTTTTTTTTTCCAAGCCTCTCCCTTCCCACTTATAACAAAGGAGTTTAGGTTTTACCTTCTATTAAAAAGCAGGTTTTCCTTGTCCATTTGTTAATTCCATAAGGGAGAGAGAGTAACTTTCCCTTTTCAACACTTTCCTTCACTGCTGAAAACATCAATTGGGAACATTGTAGCATCCAGAAAAAAGCCAATACTTTCCCAGGTATTAAATATGTCCTTAAGGTCCCAGTTCGACCAAGAAAAAACTTTCGTTTTAAAACTCCTTCTTCTTCCTCCTGCACATTCTTTATCCAGTTGCCGGCTTCTTCGTGGCGGCCATTAAGACCGCCGCTCCACCGTCTTGAGAGAAGGGGGTTATTGCCGGCTGGGGAGGGGGTCTGCGATACTCCTCAACCCCTATCCGGATCCCCCCTATCTTCAGTTGCCCCAACAGGGCAGCCTTAGCCTCCAGATCCGTCAGGATCGGAGGCACCAAGGCAGCTAGCACAGCAGGGATCGTGGAGAAACGCGAGTCCCTGCTGTCACCGAAGCCGACAAACCGGAAGTCCTGCTGCTCCTTCTGTCCTTGTTGAAACTGGAACAGCTGCTTCTCTTCCCTCTTTTCTTTTTGCCCTTCCCCAGCCATTCTCATGTTGTTGCTTTCAGCAACCGTTTCATCTGATGGGCTGTTTGCTAAAACAAAAGAAGGCTATGCCATTATGCACTTGAAAGAAAATCAGGGTGCCGGAAATTTGGGGTCTGTCTGGCAAGAACAAAGAATGTTTATGCACAGAGAATATGCAGATGTAACACTTGTATCAATTCAAGATGGTTAGAGGAGTGATAACATAAGAGTTAGACATCCTGCATACCTCAGCTAGACATTAGGAATAGGGATGGCCCGGAGCAAATACAAAGTATATGAGATAATTCCTGGAGCATTCATTAGCCAAGGCTTAAGAATAGGGGAAGTTAGAGACCAAAAAGACAATTGTTAGATCATTACTAAAATGTTTATTAGATGATCTATATATCCCACTTTATCCCGCCTTCCGCTTTAATGAAACTGTATAAAGCTTTCTTAATTCTATTGTTCGGGGTTCCTTGGCATTTTCTAACCAGGACTCCTTTTCTTGGAACACTTCAATAAAAGGAAACAAAACCTGTATCTTGTGTCTGGTGTTCTTCATCGGCTTCAGCACCAGGTTCGGACCTGAATTGGGGACAACAATTTCCTATTGTGTAGATCAGAGGTCTCCAAACTTGGCAGCTTTAAGACTTGTGGACTTCAACTCCCAGAATTCTCCACCCAGCTCTGGGAGTTGAAGTCCACAAGTCTTAAAGTTACCAAGTTTGGGGACCCTGGATATAGATAGATCTTGACCATAATGGAGCCTGCCTGGTAAAAGAGCAGCAATTGTGAATGAATGAATGAATGAATAAGCTGAAAATGGCAGACATTTCTGGGAGGCTACCACATGGTTCAGGGATGAACCACTCTGTTTCTGCTTCTCTAATGTAGTCTGCACAATGCTGTGAAAAGCTCCAGAGGTTTCCTCAGTGCTTCACGGATTGTTTTAGGAGAGCAAAACAGGCCGCGTGACAGGCTCTCAAACCTGGCCGCCCTTTTGGCATTACCACAAGAAATTGTAGGCAGGAGGCAACCACATGGCCCAGGGTTGAGTGACCTGCCCTCCTTCCTGCAAAATGAGGACTGGAGATTTTCAAAAGGTAAATGTGCAGTGAGAGATGGGTGAGTATTGTGGAGCAGGCCCAAGACATGCGGGGACCAGATGGAGCAAGATGGTGAGGTGCACTGAGGTATCCCTATGATCAGTTATATTATAAGGTCAAATGACTACCATGGCACTGCAGTGGCCATAACTTCAAAACAAGGTCGTAAGTGCCTTTGGTGTCTAAGTGACTGGTCATTAAGCAAGGGCTATCTGTGTTGTCAGGAAAGCCAAGTGTTTCCCCCTCTTCCTCGCTTGCTCCAAACAACAGGCCAGAGATGTTTTCAGGAATGGTTAAAAATAAAAGTCAAGATGGCCAAAACCCATTTATTTTTTATGTTCATTGAGATAGAATGATTCCAATTACAGATAGTCCTCAACTTATAACCACAACTAAGCCCAAAATTTCTGTTGCTAGGTGAAATGTTTGTTAAGGGAATGTTGCCCCTTTTTACGACCTTTCTTGTCATAGCTGTTATGCTAATCACTGCAGCTGGAAAGGTAATATCACAGTTGTTAAGTGAATCTGGTTTCTCCATTGACTTTGGTCACAAAAGTGATTACATGACTCTGCGAGACCACAACTGGTTGCCAAGCATTAGAAGCCAGTTGCCAAGCATTAGAAATCTGATCACATGTCCATGGGGATGCTGCATTAATTGTAAGTATAACCAACTTCTGTTATATCCTTTGTCACTAAATGAACTGTCACTAAATGAAATGAAGTTGAGGACTACCTGTACAAACAAAAAGAGACAAGGTTTCAACTTCATGCTTGTGGAGGTGGAATGTCTTTGAATTTGGTTTTTTTTCTTTTTCTTTTTTTTGAATAAATTTTATTGAATTTACAATTAAAAAAAAACATAACAACATTACATATGCAACAGAGAGAGAAAAAGAAGAAAGAAAGAAGGGAAAGAGAAAAAAAAAAAAACACTCGGTCTTGCGACCGAAAAAGGAGAAAAAGAAGTATAAAAGAAAGAAGAAGAAAAAAGAGACGGAAGAAAAAAGAAAATACGTTAAAACCAGACAGATATCCTTTTTGACAGTCTGCAAGATCCAATTCTCCTACCTTACTTTAAATATACACATCTTATCACTATTTATGCTTACATTACACATTATTCATTGAACAGTTTATCTCTGATATAACCAATTATACCACGCATTCCAATTATTATAAAATGCTGAAGACTCTTTATTTTTAAGAGCTATGGTTAAATTGTCCATTTCTGCACAGTCACATATTTTCTGGATGACCATTTGATCTGTAGGTAAATAGGATGATTTCCAGCACTGGGCAAATGCTAATCTGGCCGCAGTTAGAATATGAATTATAATATATTTCGTCTT